GACTGCCTCAATTTTTTGTGGATTTGGTCGAATTCCTTCTGAAGTGATGATGTGTCCCAAAAATGCTACTTCCCTTTGCAAAAACTCTGATTTGTCTAGTTGGATCTTCAGATTTGTTTCTCTGAACCTTTAGAAGACTTTGGAGAGGTTGATCATATGCTCCTGCAATGAAGTTGAGTACACAATTATGTCGTCCATATATGTAAGACATATTTTTCCTTGTAGACCCTTCGAAACGTTATCTATAACTCGTTGAAATGTGGATGGAGCTGATTTCAACCTAAACGGCATACTGGTGTATTCGTAGTGCCGTTGCTCCACTGTGAAGGCTGTTTTTGGAATATCCTCTTCCGCCATCTCAATCTGGTGGAAGCCACTCGCTAGGTCTAAAGTAGTGAAGTATTGGCACCTTCCTAGCATGTCTAATATGTCATTGATGTTGGGGACTGGATATTTATCGTCGATAGTTTTTTCGTTCACCTTTCTATAATCTACGACGATCCTCCATTTGACTTGTCCAGAAGTGTCTGCTTTCTTCACCCATATAGGTGAAGACCAGGGTGATTGCCTCGGCCTGATGATTCCCTGATCCAAATTTGAATTTACCTGCTTTTCCACTTCTGGCTTGTGGACATGTGGACATCTGTATGTAAAAACAGGAATTTCGTCTCTTGTCCTGATACGGTGTTTCACTTGATTTGTGAACGTTAGTGGTGTGTCTGGCACATAAAAAATATCGGAATATTTTTTGCATAGTTTGCATAAGTTCTGCCCACGCAAGATTATTACATGCGATTGTTAATATTTCTCTTAATTTTGCTCCTTGAATATTTTGTTGTGGTAATACCTTCGTAGTGATACCTGGTAGTACCTTCGTATTGTGAGAAGGTGGGTAACCTGAGACGTGTATGAGACTCGAGTTGAGCAGAATAAGACTGATTATTATTCGTGTAGTGCTTTTTAGATAATTGTACTTATTCTTTTAAATATTTCCGTGGTAAAAAATGGGTAGCATTGCGAATGCAGAAATAAGATTTGAGTTGATGAAATCTAATTGTGGTTGCATTCATTTCAAATTATCTAAACCAATTAGTCCATCAAAAACTTTGTGAAATTTGAATAGATAAAATTCTATTGCTACTATTGAATTTTGAAAAACTAGGAATTTTGGCACAATAGTCTTGAGATTAATTTTGAAAAATTGAAGTTACTACATATTTCTAGTGTTTCATGCAATTTTTAAAAAATTTAAAAGCCACTTCAGGATTGAGAAATGATTTTATGGAGCCTGTATCAATCAAAAGTTTCAAAGGTGGATTGCTTATAATTATGTAGGGCAGTTCTTTCTTATCGGTGAAGCTGTGTAGTTCTACTACGTTTCTGGCGTTTTGTTGTCGTCCTCGGAAAAATGTTCTTCTTCATGCTTCACCATTCATGAAATCTTCAGCACATGCTTCTTGATATTCTTTATTGCAGTATCCATTATATTCTTCGGGTATTTCACAATTATAAACTTGTTCTTGATGTTCAATATTGAAAAGTTTTTCGGACGTGAAAGTTGAGCGAGAAGTTTGAGGCCTAAAATGATTTTGTTGGTGGGTATTTCGATGGTCTTTGATTATTTTTCGGGTCCCAAACGTTTTGTGGTTTTACGAGAACTTGCTGATTGGTCAGGAAACGTCGTGGTGGTGAATTGACTCGAGGTGGTAGGTTAATCGGTCCAGTTGGAAATTGAGGTCTGTTATAGGCTGGCTGGGAAGGCCATGCTGGGCGTTGAAATTGTTGAAATTGAGACGGGGGTAATATTCGTTGCTGTATGTATCTTTGGGTTGGTAATGGTCTTCTAAGAGATGATGAAACTTCTGGAGTGTGACTTTTCTGTAGATAACGGATGTTATTTTCTTCCTGAATATATTGCATCGCTGTGGCCAAAGAATTTGAACGCATTGCCTTTATTGTCGATCCTAAAGACTCTTTCAATCCGGACAAGAAGGTAGTTAAGGCTTGCTGTCTGAAGAATTCTTTTTTACTCGTTTTCACTACATCGTTGTCATTATGAATGTCGATATAATTGCATGCAATTTTCATAAAACCGTAAAATGATGTGTAACTCACCTTATTGGTGCCTTAAATTTCCTAGGTCCCGTGTTAATGCATTCTCGTCTCTTTGATCCCCAAATTGTTGAATAAGGACGTTTTTTATTGCATCCTAAGTATTACATCCATATACTGAAACGACTTCTTTTGCTTTTCCTGTTAACTTTCCGGCAATACCATACATGAGCAGTTTATTCTGGATGCAGTTGATATTGGCAGGTGTTGGATCAAAATAGTGGTTGAGAAGGGTTGCTGATATGTTTAAAAATTCGTGAAGGCTGTTGGAGTTCCCATCAAATTCCAGAACTACACACAAATCCTTGATGTCAAAGTTTGGTCTTGCCATTATTACTAAATTACGATTATTGGTATTCACAGGTGAATACCAATAGGGTCAATAAATGGACTGGGAACAGAGGAATCTGACATCAATACTTACAGAAGAATGTTAATGACTTGATGCATTCCCAAAGATCTGCTTTCTCCTTTTGGTCCTTGGAGGGTAGTCGTGATGCTGCTGTCAAGGAATCGTTCGTTTCGGATCGCGAATAAACGTTGAAAAATGACGAGGAACTTTCACAGACTCTTTCGCGAATCCTACCGACTGCGCCAGTTAAGAGTTTGTTTTCCAAAAATAACTTTAAAAAAAGTTCATTTTATTCAAAAACACGTGTTACAATTAGGAGGTTTCAAGTCAGACTGAATATAAAAATGAAAATTCTCATAGGAATAAAAATGCAAGTTTATCTTCGTCAGCGGTGTCGAGTATCGCTGACCCATCATGAACGTTGTCGATTCTCCGTGGATTCAGATTGTAACTAGCGTGATGAAGACAAAATTCACACACGTCCACACAAAATCGATAAGTCTTTCATGGATGGCAGCGCAATTCAGATAGTTCTGGCACCTTCGAAAACAGGACACGTGCTAAATATCATAATATGGACTTTTTATGAAAATTATAAAGGGAAGTGGAGAATCGTGCCTTGAATTAATTGAGACAATAAAAAAAGTGTGTGGACGTGTGTCTGTCCACACAACGCAGGAAGTTTACATTACTGAGGTTAGTGGACTGCCAAAATCTCCACAATCGTAGGAATACATACGCACGCACACACCACGCGCACACTCCACGCGCGCACACAATACCCACTCGTGCGCACACACACCCCACCCACTCACACACACCACCCGAGCGCGTGCACGCCACCCACTAACGCGCACACACCACCCATGTGAGAGCGCACACACCACTCATGCGCGAGCGCACCACCAAAGCGCGGCGCTCACCACCCATGAACACAGACCATCCACGCTCGCGCACTCCACACACGCACGCACACCAAAGCTTCAACAGCATTTGGGACAAAGAAAATTATTGTCTATGCTTTTTTTGTTGATAAATCAGCTGATGTGATTCTTCAGTACAAAAGGTGAATTTTATGACTATTGTGTTGCACATTTCATTAGCACCTTCTAATATACTCTCATAAAAACATAAAAGGCAGCCCTCGTATGTGATACATAATCTACGACTTGCTTTTTTGAAGATAGTGAGTCCAAAATAATTTGTTACAACTTTCTCAGAGAAATAACTCAACTGATTATATTCTTATTGATAATGAATCAATTTTATTTTACATAAAATTAGTTTCACAGTCTTGCAAATAGAGTTATTTACAATTATGAAGCCAAGGGTATTTCTGAGGATGTTTCTCTTAATTTGGTATACAAAAAAATGATGTGTAACTCACCGTATTGGTGCCTTCAATTACGTCAGGTTGCCTTCCAAAATTAAAATCCTTCTTCCCAGAAAAAACTTCATAAATTAGCTTTCCATTAAATACAGCTATTTTAGGTCTAAATTTCCTTAATTTGTCTAACAAAATTTGACTACCCTCCTTAATTTCCTTACGAGTTAAATCTGCACTGCCTTTTGTGGCACGCTGTACCATGTTCGTGAATCCGATGCCTACTTGAAGTAATTTATAGTCTTCGTCAGCTGACATTTGCTGTGGGGTTAAGCCCGACAAGTATAAACATTTCCAGAAGTGATTTCCAGGTCCTGCATAGTGGTGACCTTTATAGGCCGCAAATAGTCCAGGATTAATTCCAATCTGTAAATTAAATTGAAATCAAGATTAATCGTAATTTGTTTCTCAACTGAATTATAAAACTATGAGAATTCTTTGTGATTTTAAATCGGATCATTATCGACTAGGAAATGAATTATTGGTTAGTTAGTAATAAGTTAGCTTACTATAATTATATCTAAGTTTTCAGTTAGATGATCTGGTAGAGTTCGTTTGGAGACCTCCTCTTCTGGCATCCCATTAAATCGATCATGTTTTTTTCGTTCTTTTATAGGCCGTGGAATTCCTCCATTCATATCTTGGTTAAATTCAGGCCTACCAAAATTGAGAATTTTTAAAATATAATCAACTGATATAAACATAAAAACAAGTGGCATAACTTATCACAGACACACATTACAAACTACCTAGAGCAAGCGCCAAACGTGATGGTGAGCCCGTCCCCATGCGGACAAACTCATTTTCAATGTAACCCCCCACTACAGCTCTTACAAGACATACAAATGATCTGTACATAGGCGTATCATTTCTTGTCCTCCAATGCTGTTGGCGTTTGGCATTGTCTGAATAATTTGTGTTGTTTCTGAAAAAATGTCATCCACTAACAAAAATCCAGTCATCGAAAGTGTATCATTATATAACATTTTAATGAACTGTGCTACTGCCTATAATACTAAATAAAATATGAAAAGAAATTACCAAGAAGTCATGTTCCATTGGCTACCCTAATTAAAACTAATTATAGGTACGACACTGGCCGGCAAGGGGCTTAATGTAATCCAATAAAAATTTAGTTGGGAGAGTATATACCTGCGCGATCGCTGGCCATCACGTTTGGTGCTTGCTATAGACTTCTTTGCAATCTCATTAGTTGTGGTATAATAACTATTTCCGTAGTTGTTTTTTCAAGGACAAAACACAAGCACTACAAGAAAATCCATAAGAAGCTCAAGAGCGGTGCCTGTACGAATGTAGCGATTCACACTGAATTTGAATCACTGGAGATTAAATACATTTGAAAAAACGTTCTCAGGGAGTTTATTCCACATAAACGCAGTTCTCCAAATGAAAAAGTTCCTAAACAGTGAGATTCGAGGTGTACTGAGTTGAACCTCAAAACGATGAGCAGCCACATTCCGTCGCGTATGATATGAACCGCTCTTGGTGGAATCGAATGTGCCAAGTCACTTGAATACTTCCCGTGAAAGTATCTATAGAAAAGAGACAAATCTCCAACCTTTCTTCGATGTTTCAGACTATCAAGGTTGCAAGTGATGTTCGTGTCTCCAATCAGGCGGGTGGCTCTTTTCTGGATGGAACCCAGCAGCTTCAAAAAAGTCTGATCTGAGCTTTATGAAGCATCAAAAGTTGCTTAAGGTTTGTACAGTTTTCTGTTTCGGAACAGTGTTTCAAGCTTTTGACACGCATCCTTTGCAATTCCAGAGACATGATTGTGCCAATACATATTGGTGCCCATTTTAACCCCCGATAAAATTATCGAAGCAGAAAGCGGAATTGTCTGTCCTGACGTTATTATATCCGATGCCTGGGTTTCTGTGGCATTCAATTGAACCTGGTTACTTTCACCCTAATTCAAAATCACTTCTATATCCTCATTAAGATATGCAACCTCCTGCTGCTGGTAAAGATGTGTATCCGCGGTCGATATCCTGAAATCCAAATGGAATGACGCCAAAAGTGTTCTGTCGTCAGCAAAGCAATATATTAGACTCTTGTTTTTTTTTCAATAAGTCGTTTATATACAATAAAAACAGGATTGGAGACAATATGGAACCCTGGGAAATACCAGCGTTGATGGTAAAAGTATTCGAGAGATATCAATCGACGGCCACTTGCAGGAAACTTTTTTCAAGAAGCTAGAGAGCCATACACAAAAATGATCTGACGCCATACCATCGAAGTTTAGCCAGCCAACCCTCATGCCACACACGATCAAAGGCCTTAGAAAAATCAAGCGCAACAGCTCTAGACTCTCCATGTTTCTCGATTGCGTTATTCCAAATACGCAGATGAACAGAGTTGTTTACTAACGAATTAAAAAAAAAGTGACTATGTTGGAAGATAATAAGATCATCTGTTGTAAAAACATTTATGAGGGTACTAGCTGAATATGATGATGAAACAAGCCTGCTCGAAAAAACGAATTAGTTGATAAAAGTGACCTGAAAGACGAAAACGAAGCAATTGTTCAGCAGGCAATTGATATGGAATCCAAAATGAGCACCTTAATAGAAACCCACAAAAAAACAATAGAATAATTGGAAACTAAAATCAGGATTCTGCAAAAAAGAGTCTACCAAAAAAGTACAAGGTATGAAACCTTTGCACAAGAACCTAAAATAACAAATAACAACGAAACTCCATATGATCACTTATCTTAGCGTGAGTTCATTCCTCATGAATCAAGAACAGAAACTATGGATAAATCACATTTTACAGAGATGAACGAAACAATAAATCAATCTGATTTTTTAGAACTGAAATGGGCGTAAAATCTATAAAAGTACTGAAAATATTACATATTAATGTACAATCCATGACATCAAAAATAAACCAAATTGAAAGTCTATTAATTCAGACAAATATTGACATCCTGTGCTTAAGTGACCACTGAATAAATGAATTGAACATTTACATGGCAGTTATTCCTAAATATACGTTGATGACATCTTTTTGCAGAAAGTCAAGAATTCATGGAGGAACGGCTATCTACATGAAAAACAATACAGGAATAAATTGTAGGTCAATGACAAACAAACTTTCTGAGGAGATGGAACTTGAGTACTGTATGCTAGATCTAACTGCCGAATGTCAAAATATGCTTGATTTACATATACAGAGCCCCAAATGACTGTGTTAAGAACTTCATTGACAAAAAGTCTCTCATTGTCGATGAAGTATTATCTATTCATAAAATTATAATTTGTGGTGATTTGAGCATTGATTTTGTAGAGAAAACCGACAACTTTAAATTAATGAAGGGTCTGATGGATTCATATGAATGCCACAATTTAGTATCGACACCTACAAGAATTTGAACTAATAAAAACAATCAAATTTCAATTAGTGGAATTGACTACATTATAACTAACCTGGACCTTAATACATGTACTCAAACAACATTTAGTCCCCACCTCTCTGATCATTTAGCAACTTCTATGCATTATAACTACAGCACTCATGAACCTGAAATAGAAATTATCCTCACTGGCTTCCACAGAAACACATCAATTAAAATTGTTCGTCATTTAAAAACAATGTTAGATACAATGGAATGGAATATATCTTACGAAAAATCGTTATCGGTCAATTTCCAGAAATTCACTGATCAAGTCAAAATGGTTTATGATGGATCATGTCAACTGATACCCAATTCGAAGACCTCACGCAAAAAAAAATAAAAACATATTGGTTTAATATGGAGTTAAAACAGGCAAGGGATGATCTAGACAATGCCTACTTCATGAGTAAACAATCAGAAAATGCATTGTTGAAAAGATTGTTTTAAACAAAAAGGAAAAATTATAGAAAACTTATAAGCGATGCAAAAAGGGCTAACATTAACGAAAATATTGTTAAAGCCAGTAACAAATCAAAACAAATCTGGAAAGAAGTCAACACAAAATTAGGCAGAAATCCAAAACATAAAAGCGGTATAACTCTTACAATAGATGGTACATTTACAGATCCAGTCTCAGTAGCTAATTGTTTTGGTGAACATTTCTCCACTGATATAAAAAACAAAATAGACGAATATTTTGTCTCAAAGCTGCACCACTGGTGAAATGCAACAAAATACCTTTTTCTTTGAACCCGCCACAACCGAAGAGGTAAAATCAACAATATCCAATCTCAAAAGTAAAACGTCATCAGGACCTGATAAAGTATTTCCCAATGTTTTGAAACTAGTTTCCGTTAGTGTGATGCAACCCCTAACTGACCTAATCAATATGTCTATTGAAACAGGTGAATTTCCAGATTCACTGAAATTGAGTAAAGTGATCGCCATACATAAAAGTGGTAATAGATCAGAAATAGATAATTATAGACAGATTAGTCTTCTCAGTATTTTTTCAAAAAATTTAGAAAGACTAATGTACAGACTTATGAAACTTTTAATAAGTCATCAAATTTTATCTAATTCTCAACAACATGGATTTCGCATTGACAGGTCAACAGAATCTGCCACCATTCTTTTTGTTGATTTCATATCTAGGAATATTGACAATAGGAAGCACGTGACAGGAATTTTCTTCGACCTGTCAAAATCTTTTGACTATATTGATAAAAGTGTTTATGGCTTCCAAACTGTATAATAATGGAATTAGAGGAAATATTATTGACTTGATCATATCATTTCATTCCTAACAAATAGACTATTCTTTGTAAAATCAGATGGTGTTGAGTCAAGACAGATATTCAGTTGATGTTGGAGTAACGCAAGGTTCAATTCTGGGTCCGTTGCTTTTCTTTCTTTTCTTACTATTTCTCAATGACCCCCCAATAAATGTCGATAGGCGCTTTTATCTCATCAATTTTGCTGATGACACATTTGGTATAACTGAATCATCTATGGAGGATATGATTCTATCAATTGAACTCGGTATTAGTGAAATGACAAAATATTGTCATTCCAATTAACTGATGCTGAATGCATAGAAAACAAAAATTATATATTTCAATAAGAACAATCTGATCGATAGTGAAGTCCTTCAGACACACAACTCCACTAAGTTTCTGGGTGTAATGATTGATAAATCACTCTCATGGTCTGAGCATATTGAAAGTTTATCAAAAAAACTCTTCAAATCCTACTTCGCAATTTTGCAATTGAGGTATGAACTTCATAAGACTATTCTTATCCAAGTTTATTATGCATTAGTATATTCTACATTATAATTTCACATCATCTTATAGGAAAATGCTACCGAAATAAATAAGATATTTGTTACACAAAAACGGATTGTTAGATTGATGTTCAACATGAAGCCACGTGATGCTTGTAAGGAAATTTTCAAAAGTAAAAAGATTTTCACAGTTTGCTGCATTTACTATATAAATGTTGCACATTAAAAAACATGAAAATGAGCTGAAGAAAAACAATTACCACCACCAATATTGCACTAGAACCGCTACAAATTTAATATCAATGACTCACAGAACGTCCGCATTTGAAAAATCGCCAACTTATGCTGGGGTGAAAATATATAATTAACTTCCTCATCTAATGAATGCCTGTAATACTCTTGAATTCAAAAAATCACTCAAAGATTTCTTATTGGCTAAAGCTTATT